TGGCTTTTTTTTTTTTCGGATTTGAAATTGATAGTGAAGATAGTGGGGGTCTGTTTTTAAAACTTTGTGACTTAGGATTTTCAGCCAAGATGGCGGACACTTTAAAATCGTTATAATCTCTGACTTCTTCAAGTGTGCGTGGTAAAGAGGGAATTTAAAAGTTTTTTAATGTGCATTGTGGAGTGCGTCAAAGTTGTTGTTTATTTCAATCTTTTCCAATCTCTTCTTACACGAACTTCCAAATGTCCTGGAATGAGGAATTCGAATACGTAATACGGCAATTAAAATATTAATGTATGCTGACGATATAATTATCCTATCGAGTAGTACAACTGGCTTAAAAAGTAATATGAAACGATTTGAATATTTCCCTGAACAGTGGAACTTTACAGTAAATTGAGAGAAGTCCAAGATCATAGTGTTTAGGAGAGAGGGTAGGTTGAGTTCTTTGTATCGCTTTTTTGAGGGGTAATCTCATTGAGATTGTAAATGGATACAAACATTTAGGAGTGATATTTACCCCGAGACCCTCTTGCACTAAGTAAGTAACACATGGTCAGCTTTCTACTTCAAGAAACTATCCGTATTAAAAATCAAGTTTAATATTTTTAATGCGATATGTCGTGTAATTCTGTTATGACTGACAAATTTGGGTTATTAGAAATTCGAAACAATAAAAAAAATGCAACGTTTTTTTATAAGAAAGTTATTCTCATTGCCATCTTGTACACCAAACTATACACCATTTAGAGACCAAAATGGATTTAGTGTAGTTTTGGTGTATACACTGTTTCACCACTCCTATATTGTGAAAGTTCTGTTGTCTCCCGAAACAAGATACTCAAAAATTACAACTTTGGCGGTAGTGAAGTCTAATATTTTATGGTTTGCAGATTGGAAATATTTGTTTTATCTAAACTAAAAACCTTAATTAATTGAAAGATATTAATTGGTCAAGCGGACCACGAAAACTAGTGAATTTAATAAGTTAAAATGAAGTATACTTCACTAAAGCTCTCCGCGGCCCTTTCATTTGTCAGAATTAAATAGATTTCACGACATTTGAAAAATGGCAAAAAGGAGGGAAAATTCAAAAGGTGGGGTTGACATGGGAAGTTGGTGTCCGATTGGACTGAAGTCACGATAGCTCAAGTGGTAGAGTAGCAGCATATCTAGCCGAAGGTCGTGCGTTCGAATCACGCTCTTGACATTGACTTTTTTTATCTCAACTAAAAACCTTAATTAATTGAAACATATTAATTAGTCAAGCGGACCACGAAAACTAGTGATTTATTTCCAAAGTACAATTTGCCATTCCTTTTATTATTAGACAACTCTGTGACAGGCACAATTATTTTCCAGTTCTTTTTAATCAAATTAAAAATCCACATCACGATGAATGCCGGTCACGTGTCCAAGCATCTATGCATCTCTCCCTTTACTAAGAAGTACAAATTTCTACTGCATTGTTCGACCTACATGGAAACAATTTTGACGGTCTTTATCTCAAAGTGTTGCGATGGCTATTTAAGCAAAAGGAGAGGTTTTGCACTTAAAATCGGCAGTTTGGATTAGAGGGGAATTTGGAATCTGTTTTTTGTTCAATTCACGTTCAATTGAAACTGTCTTCCACTTCTTGGCAGACTGCTCACCTGTGGGTGAGATTCGGTTCCTTCCCTAATTATATTGTTCATTATTTTGAACAATATTAGGGCATCAGTCATTGATCTTCTAGATTCTCGTGAATTTATACATCTCAGTTGAATGGTTTGGCCATCTGGTTCAAGACGTATTTGTAGTTTGACTCCACAGAATCTTAATAATTTGTTTTGCACTTTTTCTAATGTGTATACATTACTGTAGTAGGTTGACCAAGCAGGTGAGTTATACCCTAAGTGGGACCTGACCAAAGCGAAATCTAGGTTTTTAATGACATTAATGTTATTTATATAAGTTACATTATTACATTTATTAGATATTATCTTACATTATTCTTTTTTCCTTTCTAATTGTTTAAGGACCTCCGGCAGATGGATCCAAGATTCATGTTCGTAAATGTTTTAAAAGCACATTTGTCAATTTTCTTAAGTTCAATAAAGCATTATTATTATTAACTCAATCGGTTAAGTCGCAGGCCAGATTGCCCGGTCACCGGTTCCACACACTCCAAAGGTGACACAAACAATTGATTTTTGAATAAATGTTTTGTTTTCGTTGTATTGTGTCCTCAAAGAGTTTATAATTAAACTGGTTGACAGAAACTTTGTTTTTCCGTCGTCGGCCTTAAGCCTAACCAATTTTTAGAAGGATTCCTGCGATTTGGATGATGGAAAGCTCGTATCTCGCGTCTGTCCGCTTAAAAAGTGAATGAGTAGTGGAAATAATGCGGACAAATCCTGAAATGTCCTGTCATCCTTACTCGAGCAACGTCCGCCCTTGTGAATAAAATATCCGCCCGGAATCCGTACCATTTGACAGCAAGTTACAACTTGTTCTAAAGGAAAACGTTGCCAATCATTTTCACGGCTCGAAAATTTTCGAAATAGCGAATAAAGAAAATATGATTTGATAAAGCAATAAACAGTGCTGGCAACCGATACTTGACGTTAAAATAAATCTTCTTCAATGATAAATTGCAAATAAATCTCTGACTATAATATCAACGCCTATTATACTGAAAAATCACAATCTATGGAGTTAAAAATATCTACTAACAAACCTAAATTTTTTATTGAACTGTATATATAATGTTGGAAGTTTAGGGGCCGGCAAACATAAATAATTGCATGCTTTTATTTCTTTTTTGGTTTCTATATTTTAAAACAACATAATACAGTAAGTATTTACCTTGCCAAAAATTGGTAATTGTTTGTTTTTATAAAATAACTGTTAATATATGTTCTTAATTTGTTGGAAAATATGGGCCCTGATGATGACCTTGAAGCCTGGGTGGAAAGCTTGGCAAAGTTGGAATTATGTGTTTTTGTTCTACCTCGTGACCATAATACTGATCATACAACAAATTAAATTGACTAATTTCGTGGTCCCCTTGACCAATTAATATATTACAATTAATTAAGGTTTTTAGTTGAGATAAAACAAATATTTCCAGTCTNAATTAAGGTTTTTAGTTGAGATAAAAAAGTCAATGGCACGAGCGGGATTCGAACCCACGATCTTCGGCTTGATACGCCGCTGCTCTACCACTTGAGCTATACAACAAATTAAACTTCAAGTGGTCGATACATTCTCTTCAATAATTTGAAATTCGGAGTGTGTTTGAAAAATGCAACAATATTGCAATTTTCATTTTTTGTACAAATCGAAAGGGAAAACCTAATAATTATACATAATAGTTAAAAGAAATAATGTGAAATGTCGAGAAATAAACGCCTGTCATCCTAAAAAATAAAAGAACCGCACAGAAAAAATATTAAGACCCACTTAACTAGCCGCTTTTATTTCTTACTAATTGACGTCCATTCTCAACCCTTGACAACAAAAACATTCCACGATAAATCGAGCAATTATGTATTTTTTGAGTTTTCCCAGATTTACAATCGTTTATTATAACAAAAATTATTACATTTTAAGAGAAAGTAATTTGAACTAAAAAGTTTGCTTCCAAGTTCGTCAGGCTTTTTGTTCAGGTGGAATATTAAATATAAACTTGTTTATATTAAATTTAAAAGTCGATGATCTAATATAGGACAAATTTAAAGGTTTAAACATACTAAAACGCATTAAGAACTTAACAAAAAATACATCAAAACATATTTTATTTCTAACCTTTTACTAAAGAAATACAATGTAAAAAACCTATTTACTTTTATGAACAATGAATAAAAAAATGTATATGTATAAAAATGCACCCCGAACTGAAACATATTTTTGTATGTTGCGTTGTTTGTTGTTTGTATGATGCGGTCGGGTTCTCACGATATCTGAATAATTTCGATTAACGGTCACTAATCTCTACACATTTTTTTTTTTAAATGGTCGGTTGTTCAATAATTTGTTGGATTCGTGAGGAGCTGTCAAGAATGAGGTAGTTTAGAAAAACGCATTTTTCATTTTTGTTTTGCCCACGTTTCGACATTTATTCGGGTCATCTTCAGGGTATAAATCACTCACCACACCAATATGACACCGCAAGTAGAGCATCACACTTTGCACCCTGAAGATAGTTCGAATAAAGGTCGAAACGTCACACAAAAGACGTTTTTCTAAACTATCTCATTCTCGACCGCTCCTTATGAATCCAACAAAATATATTTATCATGTACAAGAACCTACCTGTTTATCTCAAACAAATAATCTCAAAAAAATAAATAAATAAAAATTAAAATGATGCAAAAATATGATTAAAATTCTCGACGATTTTTTATTCTATCGACCACGTCATTATGGTAATAATTCGTTAAACAACATCTTTATTATTTGTTAAACAACTAATTGGAAGTAGTAATGATTAGATATTATTTTATTATGAGGGTTCGCAACAGCAGGGATCATATGAACAGCAGGGCCGCTGGATTCGAACCCGGGACCTTTAACTTACTGTGATGAGCACCGTGTCAACACCTAAACCGTTGCGGCCACCGACGCCCATAGATATTATCAATTATTACAACCAAAATTATTCATTACTTAATTCGTCTTTACATAAAAATGTATCTATTTAAAGAATAAATTGACAATAGTCTTCTATTATATAATCTTATATTATATTTAAAAAAATTAANTATTTAAAAAAATAACGTCAACCAACATTTTCTTTTGTATGAATATTTTCAGTAATGGTGTGGCTTTTAATACGATTAAACCAAGTTCAGAACTTTAGCACAAACGAGATAAAATAAGATTAATTTACAGAAATTATCTAAGCCTTTCGGCCGCCTGGCCCGAGAGCGACTTCATTTGTCCGAGTACCGTTGTTATCCTGCCTAAACTTTCCGTGCGTTCTGCCTAATCCTTTGTTGATGAAGTTGTGTTTCCAGGGGCGAAGCCGGAAGTGAAGAACCACTACCGGGGCCACAAGATGTCCCTCTGGCTCAACTTAATTCCTCAGTTGCACCAACCGGGCTTGGAGGAACTTAGCATGAGACACCACCACTTCCAGGAAGAAGGCGCACAGTATTACGACGGTAATTCATTTATTTATTTTCACGTGGTAGTGTTTTTAATTTTTAAGTAACACTTTAGCACCTTTTTTTATCGACGATTAATACCCACTCTCCTTTATAATAGCACATTCCGTCGATAAGATTTTTGTTTTCTCGTAAAGTTTAAAAGCTCTAAATATTAAACGGTGGAAATTCTCTTTATGCGTTATTCTCCAAGTAATACATAATATTTTATATACTTTTAACTTAACTACTTGCTTTCATTAATGATTAATTACGTTAAAATTGCACTTATTTGGCGGATAATCTTGTTAATTTTTTACGAGATCATTTCATTAATAATCACATATAAAATTACTGATTGATTTATAGTAATAGTAATAAATTGAGATGAAAAAGTTAGGTTGTATGAAGTTCGGTAAATATTTACAAACCTGATAAAACAAAATTGCTGCTCGCTTTTTTATATTTACTTTTAATGTTGAATGATTTATGTCGAATTATGTGCAATGTAATCATAACAGGTCGAGAGGTATTGCCGATTTTTTTCTGTTTTTTCTTTTTCCAAAATAATTACAATAATGTTGAACTTTCAGCGTAAATTGTATGAAATTTACGTTCACCGAGACAACGGTCGACCGGAAAATTTCCTATTTACAATGGAAAAGCTTTCAGACATGGAGAGAATAGGAGTCCTGCCTCATTCACCCTACAGGGCCTATATTGTTCCTTCATGCCTTCCCCCATCTTCCGGTCAATGGCCCATTTCCTTCGGACAAATGTAGGTAGAAATTCTCAGATGAAAGTCAGTGGAATCGTACAAATGACCTACGACCACTAAATTATTCAACAATATTTACCAGTTTTACTATTTTTTTTTTTTTTTTGATGATTTCGCTCCGATTCTTGCGTACTACCTACGTTTTATCCATACCTTCATGCAGTTTTTTAATATTAGTTAAATGCTAATTATCTGTGTTAATACAATATCTAAAAAGAATTTTAAATTAATATGCTGCAAAATACAATAATATTTTTATCGTTATATTAATTACAACATGTAAACCAAATTAAACTTGAATTCAGAAATTTATGAGTTTTAATAAAAAATATTTAACTAATTTAATTATTAATGAAAGAAAATTCACCAAAACACCGGAAAATCGTATACTGATGGAATACATTTATCTAACAATTTATTACCTAGTTTTGGTAAATTATCTTTCAAACCGTTTATGACCATTACCGGCACCTCGCATATTAACAAATCTCCCATTTTCGAGTAGGGTATTTTGGTTCCCCACTCTGTTCGTTACTCGTCACCCGCCCCTTTACAAACTGTTAATTTCCCTCAATTAAAAGAACAGCTTTCACACATATTGATAGGTTACCGAGGTACTCGATATTCCGTCAGTAACCTGTACTCACTCATAACGACATACACCCTATACTAATCCTAAACTAATAATTGGCGGACCGTCATGGTACTGCGCATTCCGACGACGCCCCCACCTCATTTATACACGCCTGCACTGTTTAAACATATAAACATACATTCCATCCTTGCTAATAATTACATTCACTCCAATAAATACGCTCATCCACTGAACACATTCACTATGTACAGTTAAAAACAACAGATAAAACTTCCATCATTCACTTCCCATCAAAAATCCGAGCCGTCGTGGTACTGAATATTTCGTCGAGCGGCCTATTCTTAAGGTGGCCATTCACGATCACTCCAAATGGAACCGCGCCAAGCCGCACAGCTCCATTTCGGGTGCCTGAAATTTGAGGGGACATTCACGACCGCTCCACAGCCAGTCGCTCCGAACGTAAACCAATGAATTACCTTCTCAAAATGGATGACGATCTCTTGTGCTACTCTTCTGTTTATTTACATATTAAAAGCAAAAAATCGAAGAGAAAATGGTGTAAGAAGGGGCTCCTGAACAGAAGCCGTAATACCCACATCAATTTGATGAAAGATTGAACCCGCTGATTGGAGGAACTATTTAAGGATGGATGAAACGTCTTATTTATACATTATATTTAGTGTTCTATTGACCAAATTACTTCTTTCAATTATTTAATCTTTTTTGTAAGGTTTTGGTTGAAATGAAAAAGCTAGAACCACGAGCGGGATCTGAATCCATGGCCTTCGGCTAAATACGCCGCTGCCCTACCACTTGAGCTATCGTGACTTTGATCCTCTCCGACACCAAAAAATGGCAAAAAGAGAGAAAATTCGAAAGGTTTTAGGTTGAGATGGGGAGTTGGTGCCCGAGTGGACCGAACTATCGAAGTCAGGATAGCTCAAGTGGTAGAGTAACGGTGCATCTAGCCGAAGATCGTGGGTTCTAATCCCGCTCGTGACACTGACTTTTTATCTCAACTTAAAACCTTAATTATTTGAAAGGTTTATAATATAATGTAATTATAGTTGAACCTCCAAACCTGTGCCCTGTAGTGTTCTAGCACTTGGTACATGGTTTTTAAGTTTTTATCAACTCAATTTTCCCTGAGATATTTTCCTTCATTAAAAAATTTTTTTTTAATTTGTTGATGTTTCTTGTCGGCCGGATTGGAGAATTTGTCAGGGATGCAGCCAAAGAATGAACAACTCAGCAGTTCATGATTTTTTTAATTTATGGCGTCGTTTCGGACCTATGCTCAACAAGAAAAACATTTAGGATATGGTGACTGTCAAAGTGAAAATATATTTGTGCAAGTTACTAATTAAAATTTAAAAAGTATAGAATCAAAACACTTCAAAGGGGGGCCCATGTTATTGCTTTTTTTTATATTTTTTATTTATATACAATCCGACATTAACAGCAGTAAATGTTTGTAGCATTTGTCATTATTTGCAGTGCATAAGAACTCGAAGATAAAAGAAAAATCGGCATAATATAAAATTTTGAGTATAATTTTCCCGACCTTGATACTACCATCTTCAAGGATATTTCCAATATATTAAAATAATAACGGACTTTTGTTTCACTTCCAGTAAGTTCTACACTTATACTTTCTTTACACCATACACTACTAACGGTAGCACACTGTTAGATGTGCTTTTATTGGAATAATCATTTTTGTTGTTAATCTCAAATATTTTAATTAAAAAAAATTATTATTTCAATTCACAGCTCATCTAATTAGTTGTGGTGTTTTTCAATTGATGTAAACGGTATTGTAACTGGTTTCGGTCAAACTTGATCAATCAAGTTCATTGCCGACTAGAAAATGATACATACTATAAAATCTCAGTACGTTAATACAGTATACAAATATAAAAGTTGTCCCCTATGAGCTATTTATACAGATATCGCAGGGCACTAATACAGGCGTAAAGTGGAAGGGAGCATTTCCCGACTGGTAAAATGTACATGTAAAAACCTCCCGGTTCTTAAACCAACAACTTCCTTGGGGAAAAGAATTATGCCTGCGCATTTACAAAGCATAAATCTCCTACAACCGAAACTCCTTATTCCTCACGCCCCTTAAGCCCGTAAGGGAGTCACATATATTCACATCTTTTATACCATCGACGTAGCGATATCCACTCAGTTTGGAATATATATGTTCTCATTTTAAAGTCAATGTCTCATCCTCTGAGGGCAGCCGTCTGAATTGTGCGCTTTATGAAATTTGTAAAAACCAATCGATTTACGAATTGATCTCCCTGGCGATACAACTGTATCTCGTTATTTATTTATAGGAAAAACTTTACTTCTAGTGTAGAATGTTAATTTGTTGCCAAAAAATTTATGTATTTTGTTATTCATCAGCGTTGTTTAGGTTTAAAAAGTGTATTTTAATTTTTGATTAAATGTCAGCACGGCTATAGGTTAGACGCATCAATTTGGTCTTCTTATTCTCGCTGTTTTCGCCGATGACGATTATGAATGATCAGAAACTAGCGCAAACTCATCACCAAGAAAATCACAAAAGGAAATATCACAAATTAACCTTATTCTTAATGCTCTTTATAAAGAGCGTTTAAGTTTTTCCTAATATTTCCTTTGGGAATTATAAAAACTATTTGGGCCTCATAATACATTTTTCCGAAAAAGATTGAAAATATTATATAATATATATATCGATATCGACTAGAATATATTTACAAAAAAAAGTCTTCCATTTAGTAATTCTGCTGTTATAAACCACTGAATGTAGGTTATAAAAACGTACATAAGTAGACAATGTTTATCATTTTGATATTGAATAAGTGACATTTCGAGCAGTTTTTATGTAAGTAGAAAGAACTCTAATCGTAATTTTACCCTTCTAATACACTTCTTGATTCTTCACATTTTAACAATGTCCCGATTTAAAATTAGCATCATCCCATTTACTTGCTATTTGCATTACAATTTCATTTGTTCTTAAGCTGGTTTTTTTTCTTCTGTCTTCTTTAGGCGTAACGTTGTTGGTCAGTTGTAAAAACTTCCCCAGGTGTGACTTTTTCGATGAGTTACTTGTTTCTTTGCAGAGCTGAATACGTTTACGCAGAATTTCTGCAGAGCTCCAGCTATCATTTGCCACCGTGTTTGGAAATTTTTGAAAACCTCTCGTTTTACCCACCTTCACTTAACAAATACGAAAGGTGTTCTGTCTATCGTCAGCATGCTATTTGCATTACGATTTAATAAGAACCATTATTTACTAATAGTAGTAATAATAATAATTATTATTTGGAGATAGTGAGATGCAGTCTGGTGCTAGAAATTTTAGAATCGATCAAATTATTTGTACTCACTCAAAGTCTTTGTTTTCTGTGTAGATGTAAATACTTCGTTTGAGTCTAAAATTTCTAGCATTGTATAAATTCATATTGTTTTCACATTCTACATGTATTTGTAAAATTTAAACAATGTTTATAAATTCCAGGCACTGAAGATGATCTCGATAATGGTCGAAACGTTGGCACGATAAAGAAAATGTTTTTCTAAAACGTTCATCTAATCACACCAGACCGCATCTCACGGTTTCAAAATAATAATTAACTAACGGTTGCTAAACACCACACAAAATATCATACCAATATAATCAAATTATTTTTTTTCAATATTTCGTGGTAGTGAAATATAAGCAATTGACGATTTTGGAAAAACTGTCAAAATGAATTTATAATTCGTAACATTACAACATTTTATGGGTCATCGTAATACTTTTGTCCAAAATATCAACCGAGGTGTAAGACAAGTCTGTAATATTCGTTTATAAAACAACACTCCCATATCCATTTTGATTTCACAAGAGAAATTAATGTCGAAAGAATCAACGGAATGCGTGACATTATTTTGTATCAGTTCTTTTTTACAAATTTTATTTATGTATATATTATGTCAACAGGTTCGGTGCGGCCGCAATCGTTGCAAAGGCCCGTGGTTGCGACGCCGCCGACAACGACGAGCACGACGTCGACGACAACAGAAGCGCCCACGAGCAGCACGTTGGTAGTCGTTGCTGATGGCAGCTCGACTGAATGCCCGCCGAACGCGACGACCGGACCCGCAGCCCGCCCTGCCACCAACAGCAACTCCCTCCTCCGAAAACTGGCCTCCAGCCACTACCAGAGCTACACGACCGCCTTGACCGTCACCATTGCCGTCGGATGTTTCCTCCTGCTCCTCAACATCCTCATATTCGCCGGCATCTACCACCAGCGTGACAGGCGGGACAGCACTAAGCGAAAGCGGAAGAAGGAAGAGCTCGCGGAAGGAAACAGCTGCAGCAGCAGCTCCGAAGCCGAGGGGAAGCAGGCCCTCGCCGAAAGCATAGTCCAGCAGCACATGGTCGAACTGCAAGAATTCAAGTGTTCGCCTCCTTCCGGCTCCCGAGGCCTAAACTGCGTCTCCGTCTACCCTCCGGGGTACCAAGAAGAATCGGTCCTCAGCCCCTCCATACCTGAACCTCCGCCGCCCCCGAAAGCTCAGCCGCCGCTTTCCATCAACCAATCCGGGATCCTAAGGCAGCAGTTGCCGCAAACTCCCAGCTCCATGAAGAAACGAGTCCAAATTCAAGAAATATCTGTGTAAAAACATGTGTGTTAGGTCGGCGAGAAAGCAATCTCACTTTTAATGTCATTTACTGTTAAATAAAAACCAGAGTATAACTCTGTTGAATGTACGCTTCACTGTTTTTACTATACTTTCCTTTCTTGTCGGTATTTTCGTGTAAATAAATGTTATTCTTAAATACAAGTTTTAATGAAAATAATCCAAAATTTTGAAATAATATATTGGATTAAAAAACTAAAAAGTGTTGGATAATATGAGATCATAAGATCTTCCATATATCGTAATGGCTCAAAATATCCTTTTGCATACAAGAGCTTAAATCAAGATTCACGATAAAGAACAAGAAATTTTGGATTTATATCAACATGCATGGCCGAATTAAGGCATATAATGTTAAACTGTTTAACAGTTATATAGAGTTTTATTTGGGGTAGAAGAAAAGAACATTAAATAGATTTTTTAATACCTACATTGTTCTTCTTTTTGTTTTAAAAAAGAAGTGTTTATGGCGAAAAGAATGCCGTGAAAAATTTTTGAATTTTACAAGTATGAAATAAATCGTTTAATCTATGAGAATGTTATATCAAAGGATTATTCCCTTCAAAAGGTGAATTTTGACGGTAAATAACTTAAAGGTGAAAACTTGCTTTCTTACCTGTCTATATATAAATCGTGAATTTCTCCCTAAATTTAAAAACACAACTCCTGACTACCAATCAATTTTAGTCATTTTTTTGCAACGGAATTGATTTTAAACTTTATTATAGGTAATACAGGTTATATAGTACAATTTGTAATCAAAATTTAAATTTAAATTAACAATGAAAGCTTGGTTATCTAGATTTATACTTAACTGGACAAACAATATTTATGTGTTAATAAATCGTTCAATATAAATGTATAAATTATGGTTACGTGCCAACTTCGTGTAATGCATGTAATGTAACGTGCATTTGGTGTTCAGTTCTGTTGTTTGCGTTCACCACGAACACAATGTGCGCGTAAGTGAAGGAAATAATTGCGTTTTGAAAGGAAAAAGGGCTGAAGATATGTTGACCTGGACCAAATCAAAATCGAAGCACGTAACATTGCTCAGAGCTACCAGCCGCTCAAAGTCCTTATAAGAAAATTATAATAATAACAAGGATAATAACGAGGCGTGGCCATCTTAAACATGTGAATGTGTCAAGTGTGTTCATTGTCTTCGTTCACAGACAATTACAATAAAAACAATTATATTTAAAAGTGTTGATTTATGAACCTTTAAAACCTTAAACAAATTGCAAATAATTCAAAATATTTTGTGTTTATTTATTAAATTATTTTTAACACTTATCTTAATCTTTCTTTTTCTTTCGGTAAGTATTTCCACTGAAAAGGAACGATATATAAAATCTTTCTAAAAGAATGGAGGTCAATTGTATCTACGTTCAACTATCTAAACTAGCCCAATTTAAAAGGTTCTACCTCTTTTCAGTCTTCGAAAGGAATTCTAGTTGTAAATCTGTTACGTCTTTAGATTTAAGGCAGGGCAAGAGATATTGCTTTTTGCCTTCTGTTCTAATCCATTAGATTATCCCTTCTCATGTATTTTCAGCCGCGTCGTTAACATATTCTATGATTCTTCGTTACAAAACAAAAATTCACTTCATTAATAATTGAGCAACGGCCTTTTTGTCCAATAAGTGATGATCCAAAATAAATTACATTTATATAAGTAGGGACCTGACAAAATCCAGCAACTCCACATAGTTTGTAAACATATAAAATAACTGACAATTAGGACATCAAAAGGAGGGAAAACTCATAAGGTGGGGTTGAGATGGGGAGTTGATGTTCGAGTGGATCGAGGTCACGATAGCTCAGGTGGTAGAGCAGCGGCGTATCTAGCCGAAGGTCGTGGGTTCGAATCCCTCTCGTGCCATTAACTTTTTTCCATCTCAACTAAAAACCTTAATTAATTGTCATGTATTAATTGGTCAAGCGGACCACGAAAGTATGGAATTAATATAAAATAACATTAATTATTATTTATTTCACACCCCTAATTTGGAAGTCCCTTAATTTTTCCGAGAAATAAAAAGGTTATAGTTAGCTCTCACTTATGGTTTTTACACTTTTTTAAATCATTCTCCTCTGCATTTTTATTTTCTTAGATCTCGGAGACTTCCCTTCTATCACGCATCATCACAAAAACTTTTGCATCAATACATCATCCATACAAAACATCATACTACATGACGAACTATATTGCGATGGTAACTGATCATAATTCACACAAAAACCTATAGTCTGAAACCACGCATAACCATCTTCATTCTCGCAGATAAACAGATTCGTCAATCTTTTACGTACACGTTCATTCTGAACCATTTACAATTAAAAACTTATAGGGGGTACTCAATAAACCGCCAATGGCAACTCATAACATTCGCCAATAACTATAAGTTAGGTCACAGGCCGTCGGGGTATTTGGATATTTTGTCAAGAGGCATGTTTCCATTCAAACTAATTAAACCAACACTCTCGCTAATAAACACATCATACGTAATTATAAGACATCAAATATGAAAATGTGAAGAGGCAGTTATGTTGTGCTCAATGCATGAACTTTTTTATGTGAGGGTAAGCAACAATATGGTTGAAGAAGAAGCACAACAATCCACTAGTAGGTGGCGGACTTCATCAGGTCATTACATTGGGGCCCGCCCACCAAAAGATGGCCATGTATGTGATGTTGTGACCTATCCTAAGCCTTTTTAGTAATTCTTTCACCATTTCATTTTCTTCAGAAGCAACTGTTTGACCAAACCTCTTGTATTTTTTAATTTTTTAGTCAATTCAGTCCAGCAGCTTTGCCATTCTTGATAACTCATGTTTTTCATTTTTTCTTAATTTCTCGGAGGCACTTTTTGCTGCCTTGTTCGCCTTTCCATTTCTCAGGATGCAGATCTGTCCCGAGATCCACATAAATATTACCTCGCAGATTCGATCCAATCTGTCTATCTTTTCGTAAATTTTTCGTAGCAGTAGGCCTGTGGAATATTTATGTTTTATGTTTTAATGCTCAGATCGCGCTAAATCAGTAAGTACATATTATAATTTTCTTTACCTAATTTTTATTTCTCGCTCAGTGCAAACATTTAGCTTAATGAATTCATTATATTTCGGGGTCTGATTGACCAACTTACTTCTTTCAATTAATTAATCTTTTTTTAAGTAAGGATTGGTTGAAATGAAAAAGCTAGTGTCACGAGCGGGTTTTGAACCCACGACCTTCCGGTTTTATCTCCAATACCTTACATAAAAATAATAATTAATTGAAACATGTTATTTTGTCACTCATACCACAATATAATGGATTTAATTAGTAAAACGAAGTATATCTTCACTAACAGTCTCCGTGGCCACTTCATAAGTCGCCGAGAATCGAGTCCTGATTACACGACATTTCAAAAATGACAAAAAAGGGCGGAAAATTCGAAAAGTTGTAGGTTGAGATGGAGAGTTGGTGTCCAAGTGGATCGAAGTCACGACAGATTAAACTTAATATATTCATCATTTTTCTAATGTGTATACATCATTACTGTAGTAGGTATTGTAGTACAAACAGGTGAGTTATACTCTAAGTGGGACCTGACCAAAGCGAAATCTAGGTTTTTAATTATATTAATGTTATTTATATTAGTATAATGAATTTAAATGAAGAATACTTCACTATAGCTCTCCGTGGCCATTTCATTTGTCGCCGAGAATCCAATCCAACGACACGGCATTTGAAAAATGGCAAAAAGGAGGGAAAATTCAAAAGGTGCGATTAAGATGGGAAGTTAGTGTCCGAGTGGATCGAGGTCACGATAGCTCAAGTGTTAGAGAAGCGGCGTATCTAGCCGAAGATCGTGGGTTCGAATCCCGCTCGTGCCATTGACTTTTTTATCTCAACTAAAAACCTTAATTAATTGTAATAGCTTAATTTTACTTTTAAGATTAATTTTTAGATTAAGAATTTATGTTTTTGCGGTTTGGTTGACCAAATTACTCCTTTAAATTAATTATTCATTTTAACCTTAATGTTTACAAACATAGGCATTAATTTTATTTATGTATTAATCACCAGAGGGACCACACAAAAAATTAATATTGCTTTTAATGAAAATAAAATACGTGAAAGAACATTCCACTTCAGGATTTTGGACCTCAGCGGCAAAAAACGTGGTAGACCAAAGAAAAAGTTGGATAACATAGTTAGGAGAAAGATTCGTTGAGTCTTATCTTTCTCAAACGGATCTACAGTTAAGCCAACATATTTGTTTGGCTGTCCAGTTAAGGGAATATATTTATACGAACGCTATGCGACGCTACCCGATGCTACCCGACGCAAATCCAAAGTCCATTTTTCTATAAGATTGTATTATTCCGTTGCAAATCTGCGATCTGCCCGATGCGCTGCTACGGTACCCTTCTCTACGTTCTGCGATCCGCACTGTCCAGATTTTCGTCGAGTCGCATCGAGTACAGTCGAAGACAAACGAACCGGACACTCATATTTTTATTCAAACTACATATATTATTGCCGTTATATTTATACAACAAACTTATTTTTATATAAACCAAATTAACCGAGATCAAAAATTCATTAGTTTTGATTTTAAAATATTAATTTTAATGGTTTGGTAGAACATTGAACAAAACACTGCAATACCATTTTTTGATAAAATGAATTTAACTAACAATTGATTCCACGGTTTTACTCATAAGATTTAACTAGTGCATTAAGAACAAAAGAGGCGTTGCGATTGTGATAGTGATTATGGTGATGCACGCTGTGTGATTGTACATGACGTGCGCTTGACTTCGCATAGATGTGCATACCCTACCAAAACGTGGCAAGGCGTCGTGTAGCATCGAGTAACGTCGCATTGCGTTGCATGGGCTGTGTTCCCTGCTTTAGGATCTCAGATAGGCGCGAGTGCCTTTCCAGGTAGGTTCCTTCGAACCGTAAACCTCTGGACTCATAGGTGGCGCTGGAATTAATGCATAAATCTTCATAATTGAACAACTCTGTAAGCGCAAAAAAGCCACTTTTTAAATAAATGTGTCTCTTATTTACCGAGCCAAGCACTCTCAGGTCTAATTCTTTAAATTGGTTTTAAGTGTCAGAGCGGGGGCCATAAATCCTGGCGGATTATGACACCTGATTACCGGCACCCATTTATTCTCCGTGCCGAGTTACCCTCCAGACTCTTGACAATTTATATGTTAATGCCACGCCCCATAGATATCATTTGGCCCCGGTCAAACTGAGCCCTTCCGCTAACACGAACCAGCTGACCTTCCTACCTTAAGGAAGGTGCTGTAATTATTCGATTTATCTATTTTCCTAAAAATATTTCAATCAATTCACGACCCAGTTCATCATTGTTTGTGTTTTTTTAACTTTTTTAGCATAATTACCGGAAGAAAGAGGCAAACTTAAAAAAACTTTTTCCATCATTTCAGCGAAAGTACAGTTCGTCGGTCGAAATAATCAAATTAAAGATTAGTTTACACAAAAAGCTTCTCAGAACAGAAACTGCTGAAGTTTGGAACAAGTGAAACTTGTTTGTTCAAGGCGTCGATGTCAAACTCCTGGGAAGAACGTTCTACCTAAGCTTGTTATAAACCTCATATAAGCCACATCATAAACAATTGCCACAATATGGCATAAATAAGCCTGATTTTGCATGCATATTAAGTAGGAGCCATGTATAAAATGGAAGTTTTTCCATCGTGACTAATCCTCTCTTGTATGATAGTAAGTATTAATTGATGTTTTTGTCACAGTTTTACAATTATTAAAGTGGTATGGAATTCAAATGGACAGAAAATACAAAATGGTAAAATCTCAGCTTGTAGGCCTATGTAGGAGAAGTAATGCGGATTTTTTCTTAAAATACACCTTCAGCTGCTATAATTTAACCCTTATTTACGACCAAGGTCGCAAAAGTAATTGGATTCGATTGTTGCTCTACATGGATGTTTTATCACATTCCTGAAACATTAAAAATTCCTCGCGTTCTTTTAGCGTTATCGAATGAAAACTGTTTGAAAAAGCAGTAAAACGCTCATAATTCCATTGTCCCAATGTTGCTAAATCATTCGCGGCCAGTTTAAAGTTCAAAGGTTGTAACTGAAGTTATACAATATTTTGTTGTTAATGTTTTCTTTCGAACGATAGTTTGATGAATGTCCGTTTGATTTATATTACTGTTTAT